TTACTAAATTGCTTTTATTTCTTGTTCATGTTTTACTAAATTGCTTTTATTTCATAACAGAATCTTTTTTTATGGCCAAACGAGCCCTTAAAGTGCAAAAAGAGATGGTACAACAAAAACAGAAAACTAGATGCACACAATAATTGTACATGGTAAGATCTTCATTTCCTTGCTAATGAATTTAGAGAAAAGGGTTGAGGCTCACTTGTGAGCTCCCTGTCTTCCACAGTTGAGGTGGAGGATTAAAACCTCATTAGTAGCGTAGCATTTCCTTCTCTTTTCCTCCTCTCCTGGTGTAACAAACAAAAAATTTAGAGAAAAAGTTTGAGGTACTTGTTCAAATCAAGTTCAGATTGTGCTAGGACCTTTAGATTGTTATCTGTATATATGCAGATTATTATCTTCTTTATTGATATATGATAGTAATGGCGCCAACTATTTTCTGCTGTTTTATGACAATGACTTGAAGACGCTTAACGTTATATATAAATGTGCACAGCAGGATGGGGAATAGGTTTTGCTCACTTGTAAATTTAATTTTAATATGCTTCAAATACAGATTGAAAATTATAATAGCCATTACACTAATCTTCACAAAAGTTTAAGTAGTATTAAGTTTTTCACTTTCCACCCTTCACTTTACTACTATTGTACATGTAATATTTTTTCCCCTTTTTCTTGAATTCTGAGTTTGCAATCATCATGAAAAGAAAAAGGGGAAACCTATGATACTATGATTTTCTTCAATCTTGACCATGATGAGGAAACACAGAAGAATCAACCAACTAATCGCCAAGGTCACATTTTTTCTGGAAATTCAGAAAAACTAGTTTGAAATCGCTGTTCCACTAAGAAAGACATTGGACCTTTAGGCATTGCTTGGACCGAGTTAAGAAAAGACTGGCTACATAGTTAAGTGGGAAAATAGGCTTACAGTGAATTGAAATTCATACACTTTGTTGCAAATTTCAGCTAATCTAATATACAAAACTTCAACTAAGGATTTGATATTGTAAACAGTTCCAACACTTTGAGCTGTGGAACTATCATGACTTGCTACATATCGTCCAATTTTCGAAGCGCGAATACTTCCTCTTCATTTATTGACTTTGAGATTTGAAAGCAATCAAAACCTTATATATTTGATTCAGGTTCAGACTTCCACAAAGATGAGATATCAGCCACAGCTTCAGAAACTGTTAGATATATTCCATTTAATCCAAAGGCCTCAAGAGTGCTAGATTGATGCAGCTTTTCCATAACATTCCCAACTGGATTTGCCAGCACAAGCTACAACAACAAAAAATCGAAGATTTCACGTGAAAGGAAAAGATAAAAGGAGAACAAATTTTGGAACAAATATTTTGACTAGTGAAGGAAAACAAAGAAACATCTTTTATGTGGTTGACGGATTTACCTTAAGAGATCGTTTATTCAGTGTCTTTCTTAGTTCACATATTGTGTCGATACCACTTGAGTCTATGGACGACACAGCTGGTGAAGGATGACAAAAATTCGTTACTGCCAATAATACAGAAGATAAGCAAATGTTCTCTCCGACTCTTCTTATTGGACTGACCTGTCATGTCGATAATTACACATTTGATTGCAGTTTCTTTGTTGGATACTATCCACTCTTCCTCTTCGCGAATCCATCTCAATATCCTACAGTTACAAAATGTGAATTTTGAGTGAATAAAACTGCGTGTAATATTCTAAACAAATTAATTGAAGTTGGCGAAAAGCAAAATACTGAATCTGCACTCTGTGTTTGAAGTTTGAACTAACCTCTCTTTTAGGTAGGTAGAATTTGCAAAGTAGATAGGAGCCTCAACAGCGAGGATAAGGAAAGAAGGAATTCTAACAGCTGTTCTATATCTGCTTAAGTTTTGATATACTTGAGTTCCAGGAATATTGCCCAGGACACTAGTATTTGGCCTTGTTACATGCAAGAGGATCTTAAAAACCGAAACTCCAACCTAAAGTTTCACAAGCAGAAGTAGAAAATGTTAGGTACAAGGAGGAGACATCAAAGAAAGTCGTACTATAAGATGTGATTTTTGAGGAGATGCTTACTGCTATGGCTAGGCCGAGAGGCACTGAGATGAAAAGAACACCAAAAAATGAACACAAGCAAGCCAAGAAGTCGAGCTTGTCAACTTTCCATAACCGGAAAGCAGCTTGATAATCAATTAGGCCAATAACTGCTGTTATAATAATTGCAGCCAAGATGACAATGGGGGTGTAATAGAACAGTGGCATTAGAAA